GCTCATCTGAAATACTCTGCTTGATTGTTTCAATAAACACAGTTTCTCTCAATGTACTGTAAACTTGTAAATACCAGATAACCAACTTAAAACCCTCTTCCAGTCCCAGTCTCAAGAAATAACACTGGAATTGTGCAGACATAACTTTCTTGAGAAAGTCACCATTTTCTGTCACTTTCTATTCTTTGCGGCTGGTAAAATGACAGCTCAGACTTAACTTTTACATAAGCTATTTTTAGATTTTTCTCAGACATCCTTTAACTGTTTCTTTTATACAGGATCCTACCCTAGGGATCATTTTATTCTTTGATTGGGTCATTAAGCAATCACTCTATACTGGTTCATTACTGGAAGTCACTGCAAGATCCAGAAACACATGAAGAGTGGCAAGCAGTTTATATTTCAGCAAGAGATTTATGCTAGAAAGGAGAAGTCAAGGTGTTGACAATTGAAATAAGGATGATCATTTCATGAGTTATTCCCTTTAGCTGGGGTTCCACTGTCCACAAGCCACTTAGTTTCCCTTTGAGGTCAGCATCTCTTCTCTCTGCAGCCAAACCAGCCTAATACACGTGTGCAGGTTTAATGCTGGAAGGGAGGGGCCAGCTTTACCCATACATAATCACTGTTTTATGGCTTTCACTCATTCCTGAGGTGTTAATGCAGATCAAATGGGAAACACTCGAGAAAGAACCCGTGCAGCTACTGCATTGCCTAGCTCTCCCCTCTCAATCGTTAATTCTTATTGTAAGATCTAAAGGTAATTTTGTTTGCTCTCTTAATGTGTTGCGGTTCTCCCAGTGGCCCTTGCATATCCTTTCTCAAATTCCCATCTTGATCAATTGTTTGCAAATAATTAAGCTTTTAAGAGATAATAGCATAAGGCTAATGTACACAAAAAGGCAGGTCTCCCTCACTGTCTATGGGACTGTGGTCAAATTTGCTTTGATATCCCGAAGTGATTAGGTTGATTGGTATATCTGGGAAGTGCCATCCATCTTTCCTTCACAAGAACCTACTGATCTTTCTTAAACTGTGTCCTTGAGATGCAATAACAGCAAAGGTGTTCAGGAGAATGGCAAGGAGTGACATAGACCTTTAGTTGCAAAGGTTTGGAATGAATTTCCCATTTTCTCCCTAAAAATGGCGCTTCTCAGAGATGACTCTTTATCTCTTTTGCAAAATGATGTCTGCCTTTGCCCATTGCATGGCCTCACTAGCCCTGTGGGTAGAAGGCAACAGGGCTTTGAATGTTTTTCTCAGCAGCCATGCCTGTGGCATGCTGGGTTTTTGTCAAGTCACTTTTTTTTAAGTCTACGAAAGAATAACTCATACTGTCCACAAAAAGCTTATTTAGTAAAGATGCATAGGATTTAAGATATTGAAATGTATTGGGTTTCAGTTTAAAAGCCTACTTCTTTGTGAATTTTTGGCTGGCTAAGGATTAGCTACATGAAGTCACGGCTTTCATGTGATTCTAGCAATTATAGACTTTTTTCAGGGAATTGAAAGTTTGTGGGACACTAAGGCCAAGAACTATGAGAAAAAGAAAAACATTCAGTTGACCTACCATAGACAAGGGTTTAGGAATTTTGTTGATACCTTTTTCTCCTCTTAACAATGGCCAGATTATTGTGACATTTAATTTGTCCAATCTCTTTCGTTTCTATTTAAAAAAGTATTTATATCCCGAACAACTGAAAATTTCTTAATGGAGACACAGTGCTGAGCCTCCGTAGCTTGAGGCTGCCTAGGAATTATGCTGCACGAAATTAGACACAGTTTGTTCCAATTACTTAAACTCAGATCACATGAAAAGTGACAGAGGAATAAAAGGGTAGAACTTTCTAATTTTATATTTAAATTATAAAATCAGAAACTACATGATGTGAAGAAACAACCAAAATTTGCACTGAAATTTTGAGAGCCATATTACTACCCTTTGAAGCTTTAGTAATCCGGGTAATGGTAATGATTCAAAGAGAATTTTTCTGACACCACTTGCATAAATAAAATGTGAATTCCATTTGCTTTGTAAGAATGTTTGTAAAACTTGCTCACAAACAGGCATGCAAAAGTACTCTTGAAAATACAGGAAAATAAATTACTGTGACAATTTTCAATTTTCAAAGTAACTAAAGATAAATGGCATAAATAATAATTTTTATTCAGTTCTGGTCACAATATTAAGACACAACTAACAAGACAGGGCAAAAAGTTTTGCCATCTGGCTATACTAAAGAGGGACTGTTGACATATTTATTAATTCTATTAAAAATCCCTGAAAGTGATTTCTGTAAGACCTGGACAACTGTCAGCAAATATATTTTACAGAAAATGTTATAGATTGGAAGTTACTTGTGTACTTCAGTGTACAACTTTATATGGCACATAGTGCCAATGGTGGGATGCTAATATTTGCATATTTCAAAATTGAGCTTGTCTTCTGGCATTGCAATACTGTAAGAACTGCTAGCCTGGGTAATCTTTAACCTCAATAGATCTTAGAACTCTGGATGACAAAATTGAGGATAAGAAAAGTTGTCTGTAGTTCAAAGTCCTATAGTTAATGAGTGGCAGCATCATTTATACAGTCTAATAGAGCCACTTATATTATGTACAATTCTTCAACTAGTATAGACATAGAACTACTGTATATCAAGCTATAATTCAGCGTTCTATCCATGGGATAAGAAATTCATTTGGTTTGTACTGTGTGCCAAACCTTTGTACAGTGGGAGTTACGTTTTAAACCTTAGGGTAATGGATTGCTTTGAGCTCAGTAGCCAGTCGTGAGACTTTGGTTGCAATGGCTGGCATTCTGTTGAGTAACACCAATGTCACTTATGATCTTAGGCTATTATGAGGTTTATATACCTGTATTTGAAGAAAGTGGGTCGACATCACTTTTGTGAATAAAGCAACAAAAGTAGTGTCATGGATCTTAAATTGAATTGCTTCTGCTTTATGATACATTTTGATGTTGCCTCTGAGTGGAGAGTGTCTGTCATGGCATGGTACAGCCATTCCTTTGTTCCACAAATATTTAGTGATTTTCTGTTATGTCCCAGTCTGGGCTTTGAGCAAGGATAGAGAGAAAGCAAGGCAATGGGTTTAGTAGCGTTGGTAGATGAGTGGGAAAAGACACACCAACAAGGAAATAAATAATTAAAGCAGGTGCTTCAGAGAGAGATGCTTGCTATTAGGGAAATAAGAAAAAGATGAATGTGAGCGTGATAAGGCGGCGTGCTGGGCGGTGGGGAGGGTAAAGCTGAACATTTGAGCTGAGAGCTGAAAGTGACATTGGAATAAGAACCCGAGTGATGGGAAAAGCTGGTGGTGGTAGGAAAACAGAAAGAAGGACGGTGTGGCTGGGTAGAGGAGTAGGAAGTGGGTGAGAAGAAGGTGTCAAAATCTGAGAGGTGGGCAGGGCTGGATGGTGGCAGGCCTTGTAGGCCATGGTAACCAGTCTGAAGGTTATTTCACAGGAGACATGAATGAGGATTATGAAAGGCATCTGCTACATCCTTTGGTCATGGTGAGGCTTAGGCACTGGAAGGGAAGCAGGAAATATCACTGACTTATGTCTGCCTCTGGCCATCTCTTTCCCTGGCCAGTTTCCTCACCTGTAAAACAGAATGGATGATAGATTCTATTTATGTTACTCAAAGGGATATAATGGGGATTAATTACCATCCTGTCTGTAATATACTTGGAGCTCTTTAGAGAAAGGCACTATATTCCATGAAAGCAAAGCCTTATTCTAATTGTGTATTTATTGATTAAGTGACAATCATAGACAATGCTTATGGAAAAATTGTGATCTCTCTGCTGTTCACAAACAAATCCCCTGTGTATAGATATAGAGCATATTTAAACTTACATATAAGAGTACTGAAGTGGTCATTAACAAGCCTTTTTAGCATCTAATCAGACATTATTAATTAAATTAAAAGCTATGTTAATTAGCATTCAATAGACCAGAATTTAGTTTCAATGGTACAGATAGTTAAATTAAGGGTTGGGGGTGCCCTTTTCCATTCATATGAGGGTTTCCATTCAATAGAGGGTTGACTCTCCGAAGAATTTTATCTTGGGATAATTTATTGAGATGTGATGTTTCAAGCAAGCTAATGTCTCTATAGATGGAAACCACATCCTCAGCTCCTCCCCTAAGCTTTAGAAATACGTATTTCAAATTTAGATGTATTTGATTAGTGAACAGAAAGCATTTGTGCCAAAACTAATTTCAGTAGAATTCCAAATGTTCTTACAGGAAGGTATGAATTTCACTTTATTATCTAATCCTGTAATACTTTTATCTACTCTGACTCTTGAAGAACATAGCTGGGCTTGTTCTTAGCATGCAAAATATGCTGGCCTTTGACCTTATATTGGCCTGTGTTCAGAATCTCAGCATGTGTTGACATTCAGATATGGAAACCAACATTGGTGAATTTTTTTTTTTTTCTGAAGACTTAAAATGAATTGTGTGTGTGTATGTTTAATAACACCCACTTAAGTTTTGAGATTTGCATCTGGCAATATGGTGTTTTAGAGGGAGAATGTCACTATGGGGACCTCAGCTGAGATTGTTGGTCCACATGGGTCAACTTTAGAAATTTATGGTTCAATGAATATATTAAATCGGGGCAGTTTACTTTTAGATGGTAACAAATGGCTTGTCCTTATTTTAATCCTATAAAATACAGTGAAGATCATACTAAACTTTCTGTGTTTGCAACAAATAAACCTGTTAAAGGATAAACTCAGTATCAAGGTTCTGCAAGTATCCTAAGTAGCTATTTATACACTTCACTAATCTTTGTAATTGGCTTGTCTTTTACTGCCATTAATTAGATGATGTAGTATTCCATTAATAAGAGTGACACACCTCAGCATTTTTACCTTTAATTATAGACTTCATGAGACACTTAGGCTATTGACAAAATGGCCTAAATATTGCCTGATGCATGCATATCTTTTTAATTCTTTTTCAGCACCCTTACCCTTCTGAAGAACAGAAAAAGCAGTTGGCACAAGACACAGGACTCACCATCCTTCAAGTGAACAATTGGTAAGTAATTTGGCTTTGCGTCTACACACAATCTGTTTCCCCCTCTGGCAACCTGCAGCTCATGTTTTGCATTAAGAAGACACACCCAGTTGCCACTGTTCTCCCTGGTGGCCTGTTGATCCAAAAGTGAAAACAAACTGTTGACTGATACGTGAGAACATTTTCTAGTATGGCCTTCTACCTCTTTTATAAGTTGACAATTTTATGCATAGTATAAGTATGTGTGTAATTCACATTCTCTATGGCTCTGTCAATGTATCTCTCTCTATGGCTTTTTTCCCCTCCTTCAGGGTAATCAATAGAGTAGTATCATCCTATTTTCTACAAAACAAGAAAATCCACCATCGCATATCAGTCAGGTTTAAATTCATTGAATAACTAAATGCAGTTAGATTTTGTTAGGGCTATGCATTCAAGGATAGTCTCTCCTTTACTGTTATCTCCCAAATACTGAAAGGAAGAAATTATTTATGTTTCTCTTTGAGGCTATTCCAAACCTGAGGCATCTCAGGACTGTGCAATACTGTTTCTAAATAAAGTGTAAATTCCTGATGTGGGGCAAAGCTGAGATTATGTACAAAGTGCCAGCCAACAATATTCTGACTCAGTGTACAGCCATGTGGCAATGAGACTTTGAGAAAGTATGATTTATTACCCTTTGTGAATGTGCTGAAAGCCAGGTTTCATATAATCACCCAGGGCTAGTGTCATATTTGAAGGGTATCGAAATCCAATATCCTCCAAAAGTAAGTGTATCTAATTAATTGTCCTAATATTTTTAGATTAGTGTTTATGATGGGGAAACCTTATCCTCTTTGAAGTAAAATCCAGAAAAGGCCCAAAGCCTGGGCTGGGGAAGGGGACAACTAGGAATGCCAGTTTTCAGAGAGAAGTATTTCTTTCTATTCAATAAGTGTCAAAGATTAATATTACAGAATCTCTGATTACATGGCCTAATCCATTTTGGTGAATAAATTTGTTCTTGATGTCTATTGCACCTACATTAACAGACCCGTCTCTGTTAGAGAGCCTGGGAGCCTTTGGGAGAGATTTCAGATATATTAAACCCCATTACAGAAAATGTAATTTCTGTCAATATAATCCCATGTATTCTTCAATTTAGTATTTTAGAGATAACAAGCTACTTACAATATATTTGCCTTTGGAGGATTAATTTACAAAGTGCACTATCTGCAAGACACAGACAGACTCACATAAGCATTGCTTGTAAGGGTTATCAATTTCTATGACCTTACTGCAGCCTTGAGAGATCAATTTTTGCAGCCCTTTTCATCAGTGGATGGTAAACCAAGCAAAGGCATACTACATCTAAATGTGTTACTAGGAGTTGTGTGGCTGCTGAGGTTTTTTGTTTACCTATTTCTACCTGCTACTGTGTCTTAATTTTCAAAGCTGTTAATACTACATATTGGAACTTTCAAATGGTTCTGGACGACATTATAGGGAAGACCATCAATTTTGCACGCACATCTAAATGCATATATCTGTATTTTAAAACTTACAGCTGATGTTGAGACAGTTTTAATACAATGGAGGCTGCACAAATGTCCACATTTCCCTGGGAAGTGTTCCTTTTGCGGGCGAAGGAGTGGCAGGATAAGCTCTCTAGTTAAGATACGAAAAGTGCTATCATTCAGGGGATCTATCCTGTGAGCCATTTCTCTTCCTCTGCAGGGTTGCTAGCAAACTCCACTCATAAACACAGTTACCGGAGAACAAGTCCCAGTACAAGTTGCTTACTATGGGTGGACAGCCTTATTATGGGATATTTCCTGTGAATGCAGGAAGAGGAAGGCATTCTTGTGACTTCAAGCAATATATGTATATATATACACACACACAGTTTTCTAGATTCTATGCACAATCTCTGCCAGAGAGCAATCTTCCTAATCAATGATCATAATTCGACTTTCTCAGTTTTGTAACCAGAAGGGAGAGAAAGGATGTTTAAAAGTTTTAATTCACACTCTAGAATAATTTTAAATTATATATAGACTTTACCCTAAATTTGACACTGCTATTCAATTCTGCACAGGTAAATAACTTAAAAATAGCCTTTACTTAGTTATTTGGGACAAACACAATTCTGTGCTTAACTGTCATTTTGTGCAGTGTGTGGGTTCTCTCTACTTGTATATATATGGAGTTAGAAGTAGCTTTTCTTGCACCTCAGTGCTTTGCATTTTGCAATTGTTTCAACATTTAACAACTTTGTTTGCTGTAGAAAATGTCCCTCAAGTAACCAAAAGTTGTAAGAGAGATCGTTTTTCTTCATTTTGACAAATAATGACAATAGCATGTTTGATTTGAATTTTTAATGGTTTATTAATTTTTGTGGAAACCTCTTCCTGTTTGTTTTGTTTTGAGACCAAGTCCTGCTCTGTTGCCTGGGCTGGAGTGCAGTGGCGTGAACATGGCTCACTGCAACCTCCAACTCCTAGCTCAAGTGATCCTCCTGACTCAGCCTCCCCAGTAGCTGGGAATACAGGCATATGCCACCATGCCTGGTTAATTTTTTTTTCTTTTGTATAGGCAGGGGTTTTACTATGTTGCCCAGGCTGGTCTCTAATTCTGGGGCTCAAGAGATCCACCTACTTCAGCCTTCCAAAGTGCTGGGGTTACAGGCGTGAGCTACTGCACCCAGCTTATAAACATTTTTATAAAAAATGTTTTTTATCTTATCTATACTGAGTATCAGTACATAGCAGGAAAGTTATTTCCTACTAAAAGTAATAATTTTGAAAATGTCATCATTAGTATTTCTGCATTTCCCTTTCACTTATTTAAACATCTGTGTCTTCCTTCTTGGATTTCTTAAAACTTGTTAACACACATGTACATTTTTGTATGAACTATGAGTCACTGTTGAAATGCAATTCAATAAAATGCTGAAAGGCAGGTTGAGTGTAGATCAGTCATAATTATTGGCAGCAACATAATGTATCAAAATATATAATATGTAAGTGAAAAATATAAACTCATGTCTAGTTGTTAGGGTGTCATAGAAACCCTGGCTGATGCAGTTTTAAGTTAGGCTTTGACTGAAAAATAGACAAGAAGTTTGCTACATTTTAATGGTTCTTTCACTTCATCACTGAACTAATTTTACATTTCTCTAATTGACATAGTAATATATACTACCTGCCTCAGGTGGCTAAGGCTAAAGCACATGGGATTTGAGGGGAGAAAGGCAAAAGAGAGAACTTAAAAGTAAAACAATAAGACTGATTTGATTAATTAAGAGAAAATCTGGACAAAAGAATGTCTTGTTGTAACTCTTACTTTGATCCAATTGTCAGAATAAAAATGGAGAGAAAGAATCTTAAAACAGTTGGCATCAGTACTTACAGCATGTGGGCCTTAGGATGGAATGTGAAATGTATTAGATGTGACATTGTAGGCCAAGTCTATGCCAATAAATTTTTTGAGAATTGAGGCAATTATGTAAATAATTTGAGTAAAATATTTTTACATAAATTATCTAAGTAGTTGATGTAATTGCTTGTTTTTTAAAAATCAACCTCCATAACTAGTTGCCTAAATATTTCAATCTACTATGTTGTGGTAGACTTAGATTTAAAAGTGTAATCGTTTTTGAAACATAATATGCACCATAGATTTATGTATTCTTCCTTCTTTGGTTCCTAGCTCCCAATTATAATTGTATCCAAAAATGATAAATAATAGCATCAGGGGCTTTTGTCTTTTTGCTTTTTTATTGTTGTTGTGGTTGTAACAAATACTTGTGTTATATCAGCAGTGCAAACATTATCAATATGCTAAATGTTTTAGTAATTTAAGTAGAATCATCTTAAATTTTGAGATTAGATGGTTATTTAAACCTTTAAGTGTTTAAGTAGAACTTTACAGAAAACACACATACACACACACAATCAATACTTGGTTGATTTTCTCCTGAATAGACCAACTTAATTTTTTTTATATTGAAAATGTGAGTGTAGAATGGTCAGATAAAAATTCCCTTATACATGATCACACCAGTGTTGCAGACCTGGGAATTCCCTGTGATGAAAACTTATCTCTTGTGATTGTGTTGTACTTACTGGAGGCCTCAGTCACCTCCTGCCTCAGCAGAGTTTTGGCCTAGGGTGTATTGAATACATTTTATAGTTTCTTTGTTTACTACTCCTCATCCAAACACTTTCCCATTAAGGCCTGATATTAAGTGATTATCCCTTTATGCTCTGAGAAGGCAATATGGGTTTTAGGTGCAAAATATATAGTGTATGTGAAATACAGTATTTATATAGAGAGAAAAATTATTCTCCATCAAGAGGGTATATCAAATTCCAGGTTGCATCCTAGCAGCCAAGATGACACTGTTCAGAACTATCGTACTCTATATTTCTTAGATTTAGTGCTCATACCAGATTTTCCTAGTTACTTCATTTATTGCTTTCAAAGCTGCAAAGCATTCAGGCATCACTTCCCATTTATTACTAGTGGGAAAAAAAGTATGTTATCCTTAGAGATTTATGCCACTGGCAAGTAAAAATGTAAACTTATTTTTTAAAAATAAGATCTCCTTTATTATAATAAACAGATTCAACTGTTAAAGGTCAAGTTTCTTTCTGAGTTATGGTAATAGTGTAGCAAATACTTTTACAAATAATCAAAGATTCTATAAATATAGGTACCTGTTTAGACGTAAATGTTAAAACATTCACAAATTATCCTTTCAACTTCTGTGATCTAAAAATCAATAGGGGTCATAGGGTTTCATAGAATTGTTCTGCTTTTTCTTCCAACATAATTTAATAATACATTTTACAGATGTTGTTTGAATATTAGACACAGATTGTTTTGTCAATAAAGCTAAACAGAGGCATGACACAAAAGCAAGGAAAACAGATGTAAAAAAAGAAAAAAACAGTGCACGATGCAAGAAGCTCTGGGTCACTTGTTTGCTATTCAACTACAAAATTAAAGTGCGGGCTGTTTGGTGATTTTCCTTGCCT